TCTAAAATTGATTAAATAAGCCTTTGAAACCCATAAATTGTCAAAATTTTTTGGAGCATTGCCAAACTACGCCCAATCTGCTCTAGTCGGGGACATTGGACCCCCGCCGGCAACCTTGGACAACCTGTTAGACAAATCCTGGCACCACCCCTGGTCCTCGCATCCTTGACGTCACGACTGTCAGTTAGAAATCACAATCAAAATATCCAGGAAGCATATATTTTTTATCTTTGGTTCAACAAAAAAGGTTCATAAGGAGTTTACCTTGGAACGAACCAGTTGAATTTCTTTTCTGAACTCAACTGCTCATTTAAGTTAATAATTGAGGCTTGTCATATAAAAACCAACGTACAGAGAATCTGTAATACTTTTACTTATAAATTTGTCAACAGTATGTCAATTCCAGTAACTGACCTGTCATTTTAAAGCTTATAATGTATGGAATATAAATATATTAGAAAATATATTTTCATGATTTTTTCACTGATACTAGTTCAACATGTTAACTTTCAATGAAATAATAAAAAAAAATCAGTTTTTGACTTACTTAATACCATTTATTTTATAAATAATAAAACACACAACACATTTGATTGTAGAACTTACATTTTCTGAGCGCCCAGGATGCATTACTAAGAATGGTATATCACTTTGCCGGAAGAAAGCGTCTATTCTCAGAGATGGTATTGTTGCTGTATCAACAAAATTTCTGAAATACAAAGGAAAATTCTATAAGCAGATAAATTACAAAAATTGAATTTTATCCTATCATTTGTTTAAAATCTTTACATATTTATTTGAATAAACACCTTGTTTTTGAATAAACACTGCTCTATAGCCTCATTTGGAATAGACGCCTAAACTCCCCAAACTCCCCAGGCGTTTATTTGAATAAATGCGAAATCTAAACCTTATTATCACATCTTAATGTTTAATATCCTTTTATATTAAATTAGCATGTCTTAATATTTATTACCATTTGGTGTAAAAATTTAATACATATTATATTAGCATGCCTCAATATTTATTAACCTCTTACACCAATGTGCTTTGTTATTTTAAACATCAATATGTTTTGCTGTTTTCTTTATGGAATGAACTGGTAGACAAAGACTGCTTTCAAAAATTTAAAGTACAATTGATAATTCACTGTTTCTACAGTATACTGCAAATCAAATTAAATTATAACTCTTAAAAGAAGTTTTTTTTTTTTTAATCAAAAAAAATATATTAATTATATCCAATAGCTATCCAAAACAGAGTGTCTGGTCGCTGGTGAAATAAAAAGGCACCTATATACTTAAGGAGCAAGGGTGCATGCCCCTCCCCACCACCATATTGATATTTTTTTCACTTGACCTAAAGCCCTGTCTAGACTATCAAATTTTATTTGACAAAAACATGTGACATGTCTAAATATGGTCATGATGACATCAAAGCATGACCATATATAGGCACATCATTACTATATATGGACATACAACAGCTTTTTGTCAAAGAAAATTTGATTATCTGAAGAGAGCTTACAGCTATCACACTATCAAATTTTCTTCGACAAAAACTCTTCTATGCCCACATAGTCATGATGTGCTTATTATATGCTAATGATGTGATGTCATCATGACCATATTTAGTCATGTCACATGTTTTTGACAGTGAAATATAATTTGATAGTCTGGACAGACTTGATAATGTAGCATTGACGTACACATCAACGATGACAAATCCAACACTGCCGAGGTACTCGTCAGCAACCTCGGCAATTGCCTCCTCTCCTTTAGGGAACCTCTCAAGTTTAGTTACTAGTATCACTGTAGGTATCTTCAGATCCATATGAAGACTGCTTCCACCATTTTCAATTTTGCTCTAGTTACAAAAAAATAAATACTGTATAGTTTAGATCCCTGCTTTTTAAACTATGGGTTTTCACAGCCATTTATATGCGACTTAGCTGAGGTTGACTGTAGAAATACAATAGTATATCTTTATTTGATAATATATGCCTTGGGTCAACAAAAAATAATCTGAAAGTAGGTAGCTACCTAAAAAATTTTGAGAAGCAAGGGTTTAGATGCCATAACATCTGTGTAAACAGGAAACTAGAATATATAACTAAGTAGTAGTATGATTTACTGTATGATTATGGTAGGATTATGATAAGGAATGATTATGATTATGGTATGATACTCAGTTTAGCATATAGCAACAGTACTCTGGTTTTGGGATGGCATGCCTCATATATTGACTTGTTTCAATATCAATGATTATTATTATTACTTTGTTACTGATAATGGTAATTTGTTTTAAATGCAGCAAAATGTATACTTACAATCAAAGGCATGTCAAGAGCTTTCATGAATGTAGGAAATTCATTCACCCTAAGAATTCCACGGTAGGTCTTACGAGGGCAGTCTTCATGGGGTAATGTTTGTTTGCACTGAAACAGCCAAACACCAACAATCGTCTCATCCCACAATTCAGCATCACTACATATATACAAAAAATGATTAATTTCTGATACAAAACTGTGTAAATTTGAAATTTGTTATTTTTGTTTCAGCAGTGATATATCTAGGATTCCTGAATTTTGGAGAGACACAAAGTTGGAGTGGGGTCGATGATTAAGTGAGGGGAAATATGTTGAATAGGAAAATAAGATTATATAAGGTGATTTTTAACTATTTGAGTGTTGTTTTTTTGCTTTGAACATTTTCAATGGGGGTGGGGCAAATGGGGGCGAATGCATTTTTGGGGGAATGTGCCCCGCCGCAAATTACTAGATACGCCACTGTACAGTTGATAATCTTACCTCTCTTTCAAAACATTTCTTACACTAGTAGTCACTAAAAATTTATACCGGTGACCATAAGCAAAAGCAGCTTCCATAAATGCTCTATGCTCTGAAAGAATATCATTAAAAGTGTTTAAATAAACAAGTAAAGTTGTCCCTCCAATTAAAGACCACTTTTGGCACCAAGAATTCATGGTCTTTAGCAGCTTTGGTCTTTAATTTTAAAAATAATCATTATAAAGTCAAAAGATTGGTGTTCATCAGGTGAAAAAGTGGTCATTAATTGAAGGCAGGCTCTAATTGGAGGGGTCTTGGATTTATTCGGTATAAGCACGGAGAGTAACCTACGGAAGTCTGAAGAAGACTTATTTCCAGTGGTATCATTCTGGTAGTGATTGGGCAGTACACCGGAAGACAATCCCATACTATTTTCCGAAGAGTGTACTGCATTTTTTAACGTGCACATGGGCCACTGCATGTTAACTATCATAACTTGCATTTCAGCGCTCCAGCTGAAATACAAGGAGAGCAGCGATGGGAATTGAACCGGTGACCAAGAGATCTCCATGTTTCAGCGCACACACAGTGGCTACCACCAGATTAGCCAACTGAGCTAAGCTGCTCTCTGAAATAAATTCAATTTAAAGAGTGATAACAAAGTGACAATGGGGACCTACACTGTATGGCCTGAAGAGGGTGGAATCATATGGATTTGTGGCTGCCTCGGGGTGGGGGCACCGCTCTTGCCATCTTCTGGATCCAACACTGAGTGGAAAGGGGATACCTTGTGAGTAGATAAGGTCTCTTACCTGGTGTCCCAATGGCCATCACCTTACTGAATATGACATCTTGTTTTCCTCGAGCAGTGCGCAGTAGTGACTCTAGTTCTTGATGGTTCTGTACAATTGGCACTTCTTGTAGAAGAACAAGGCTACATTTGATATAATAAAAGGTTATTTTTAAAGTAGTACAACAGGGGATACACATGAAAATAACTATAATAGTACATTTATCTTCTTTCTCTGGTACTGGTAGAGCCCAACCAGATATATTTTAATAAGCTCTGATGCTGGCAGGACTGATGGTATCAAGCCCTGCTACGGTCATGACCGATAGTGGGTATAATTTACCAGGTTCGGGTACTGGCAAACCCAATGGTGGAAAATTTACCATGTTCTGGTACAGGCAGAACCTGTGATGGACAACAACCCTTTTCTCTAAACCCCATCCCTTAGATGTTGTTCCCACAAATATTGTTTCCACAAAATGACAGTGTTAAAACATATGCAAACACATGTGTTTGTGGGACATGCATGTACTCCTGGCCCTGTTCTGATTGGCCAGTTGTTAAGTTTGGATAACACTCCAGAAAGGTCTATTTACCATGGTCTGGTACAAACAGAACCTGTGGTGGATGGTTTACCATGCTCTGGTACAGGCAGAACCTGTGGTGGATAATTTATTATGCTCTGGTAGAGACAGAAATTGTGGTGGAAAATTGACCATGCTCTAGTACAGACAGAACCTGTGGTGGATAATTTAAAATGCTCTGGTAAAACCTGGGGTGGATACTTTACCATGCTCTAGTACAGGCAGAACCCTGTGGTGGATATTTTATCATGCTCTGATACAGACAGAACCTATGGTGGATACTTAATCATGCTCTGGTACAGACAAAACCTGTGGTGGGTACTTTACCATGATCTGGTACAGGCAGAACCCTGTGGTGGATATTTTATCATGCTCTGATACAGACAGAACCTATGGTGGATATTTAATCATGCTCTGGTACAGAAAAATCCTGTGGTGGGTACGTTACCATGCTCTGGTAACAGGCAGAAACTGTGGTGGACACTTTATCATGCTCTGGTACAGGCATAACCTGTGGTGAATAGTTTACCATGTTCTGGCACAAGCAGAACCTGTGGTGGATTATTTTTACCATGCTTTGGTACAGGCAGAAAAAAGTGGTGGATGCCTTACCATGGTCTGGTACAGACAGAATCTGTGGTGGATGGTTTACCATGCTCTGGTACAGACAGAAACTATGGTTTGTTACTATACCAATTGCAATGAATTTACTTAAATATTAAGATGAAAATGTTACAATGTACTCACTGTAAGACACTGGATACAATGGAATTAATGTCAAATAGAGTGTCTATTGCAAGGTCTGTCAATGCTGCACCATTTCTGTGAAATGAATAATAAAAAATAAAAAATATATAAAATTAATTGTGATGTCATCATTTTATGTTTGTTATAATTCTAGCTCAAAAGGACAATAATTTGTTATAGAGACCTGTTATGTATTGCAGCTTGTGTAAAAAAACGTTCAACATTACTAGGCCCAGGCATAATGCATACAACAACCTACAGTAAGGAAACCATAGCATAGCATGTGACCACAAATGAAGCCAGATCCTATGCCCAAACTAGGAAGGCCCAGGCTAGATAAGATGGGACTTATTCATTCATTCAGTACTTTATTAATAAATTTCCATACAACAAGCCATATTATTTTCAAGTTAATTTGGGCACTAATTAGTAGATTGAGCCTGTAGGAGCTCTTATTTCCCCCAAAAAATAGCCTACACATTATTTTTTTTCCTTCAAATTTTATTTTCCAAACAGCACCCTCAAAACCAGGGGCGGATCCAGAGATGTCCAAAAAGGGGGCCCCCAAAAGGGGTCCCCGAAATTTGGGCCGATCGAGACAACAATGTCCTAGGGGGTCTCGGGGCATGCCCCCGCAAAATTTTTGTGTTCTAAACGCCCGAAAATAACATTTGAGGCGTTGTGGGCTATCATTTTTTTTCTTTTTCTTTCTTTT